CTTTTTGATGGCGCGTAAGGACCATATGTTGCTCTTTAGCAACGTAAAAGGGTGTGTTTGAGTATATTTAATTGAATAAGTAAAGCAAATTTTAGGGTAATACAAATTATTCCGAGTTTATTCAAAAATGGGAAAATATAGTGGACTGTAGGCTAAATTGAATTTAATAAACTGGTCTAGTCGACGATTCGATTGCGAGTGCCCCCATACCGGTGTACGGGTGCCGAGCTCACATTCGGAAAAAGTACATATTTGACAATTCAGTACGTTCAAAAGGAATTCTAGTACAATTTTAAACATATATATATATAAGGATAGTGAGTATGTTCAGTTTCGAATTAAGTAATTCTATTACATTTCAAATATGTATATAAAGTAAAGGGTGACTAATTCTTCATGTAAATTCATTAAGTAATTCTATTACATTTCAAATATATTTATAAGATAAAGGTTAGCTAATTATTCATCATCATCCATGTCTTCGACACAGCTTTATATAATGACATACATATTTACGTTTCATTAGAGCTACTTTTTTGTCGCAGAGTGTACATAAATAAACGTAATCTCACCTCCACAGCCATAAATATTTAACCAAAATAACTCATTGCACTTTCATTAACTTACGCGCCTACTCTTTGTTTATTTCGTTGCTCAAAATACCTCCTTTAACAGAACCCGCTCTCGGACTTCGATTCGCGGCATTTTTAGCGATTTCGTTCAATTTGCCAAATTCAAAGCCAACCGGTCAACTCTTCGAGTTTGCAACAAACCAGCCGAAATAGCTGAGATACAATGTTGCTGAATATTGGTCAGCAACATTTATTTACTATTCAAGTTCAATGCGAACATTTTTCAAAATTGCTTGTTTATTTGAATGTAAATATGTGTATATACATACGCATTAATGAGTATTTGCACATACATACCATGTAGGAAATTATCAACGAATAAAACGATTTGCAGGTTTGGCAGTACTGCAATTTTGACTTTTTTCATAAAAAATTTTTAAAAAATCGACCATACAAGAGGCTGTCGACAGTCTAAAACTAGCTGTTGCCGCTACTAAAAAAATATGTATCTAGTATGTTCAGATATCCAAGCCGCCCTTAAGGAGTTTGAGTCTATCACAATAAATTCTAAAACACTTGTAAATTTGTGGTTGGCCCGGATATGAGTTCGAGACACAGTGTGCAGGTGTCCTCTCCCCCTTGCTCTGGGTCGTCGTGGTAAACAGTCTACTAGAGGAGCTGGAGAAAAATGGACGTCGGTTAATTGCCCACGCAGACGTTTTTGCACTTATAGTTAAAGGTAAATACCTGAACACACTTTATGAACTGATGCAACGTGCGGCCAAAAGTGGCCAAACCATCAATCCCAGTAAGACAGAACTGGTCTTATTCACTAGAAAGTATAAAATCCCCGACGCTGTTCTTCCCTCAATTGGAAGTCAGCGCTTACAGCTGTCTGACAAGGTCAAGTACTTGGGCTTGATCCTTCACAGGAACTTGTCGTGGAGACCAAATATCGAAGAAAGGGCCAGGATGGCATCAGTGGCTTTATATTGCTGTAAGGGAGCGGAATTTCACCCAAAGTTGTTTATTGGCACTACGAGACCTTAGTCAAACCAATTATGTTTTATGGCGCCCTAGTCAGGTGGAACTCACTGGAAAAGGCTAAACTAGCTAAGCAGCTAGAGCGCGTATTTTATTGGTATTAGTGGGGCAGTGCGGGCCACCGCCGCATTGGCGATCGTGAACGTAATGCTGAACGTAGTGCCTGTCGACGTTGCAGGCAAAACTGCCGCGGCGCGGGCAGCTATTAGACTCAGAGAAACCGATTGGTTGACCTACTTAAGAACTGGATACTCTGGTGTTCTAGGGGGTCTTCGATTTCATCCCAGAACGCGCAGATTACTACGTCATCGAAATGGCTCCAAGGAGCTTCTTCTCTGCCCATTTTCCCTGGAAGGACTGGGCCGGGCGGACCTTCTGAAGAAGGGGAGCGGTGAACTTCTTCACAGATGGATCGAAACTAGACGGCAGGGTTGGAGGTGGAGTCTTCTGTCGGGAGCTCTCCATCAGCACTCAGTTCAGACTCTTCTTCTTCTTCTGCAGTGTTTTTCAGGCTGAAGTGGCTGCTATCAAGGAGGCGGTGGATTAACTGCTCCCAAGTGCTATGTTAGTCAGGGAGGTGAGCATTTATTCTGGTAGCCAAGCGGCTATCTGGGCCTTGAGTGTGTTGGAGGTGCACTTTAACTTTGTTAATAAACGTCTTCTCTCCCTCGTTCGGGAGCGTCCGAACACTTCTGTATTATTCCAATTTTGTTCCGGGTCATAGTGGCATTGGGAGGTACTGTGTGGCTGACAAATTGGCCAGGAAAGACACTCGTGAAACATTATCGCCAGATAAAGAGTGACCGGGGGTGCTATTGCTAATCTGTGGTAAACTCTTGGATAGATGGGCCTCATAGCAGCTCAGCGAGCGCTGGGCGAAAACTAGGGCATGCGCGATTGCAAAGTCCTTCTGGCCTAGGGTAGACCGGTGGCAGTAGAGGGCACTCCTCACACTCACAAAGCCGCAGCTCTCACTTTTGGTGGTGGTTCTAACGGGTCACGCAGTAAGGCCCCCGCATGTCGCAGTTGACTGGAAGATGGCGAAGTGGAATCACCTATGCGTTTCCGAGGCCAAGGTTGAACTACTTTGGCTCTCACATCCTTAATAGTCCCGATGCGCTCTGGGGCATTGAGATTAGCCGAATTCGTAAATACATAATCGGCTCGGGGCGTTTTATCGTTTAAGTGTTGGGTGCCATTCAGATTTTGGTATCACAAAGGACAATCTATTAATTGGCTAAGTGAGTCCCGTATGCACGGGTCTACCACCTAACTTAACCAACATACAATTGGAGGGCGCTTGAGAAAAAGCTACTGCAGTGAACGAGAATTGTGTTTTACCATGGAAAGCCAAGTCCTCATATATGCTGGGTAACTTTATGCTGGGAAAATTACCACACTCTATTCAGTGATAATGCTGCTCATAAATCGTACATATACCCAACTTTCTCCTTTACTGGCACTATAATAGGATACAATTAAATAAATACACGAAACAAATTTTTTATATAATTTACATAACACAAATTTGTATCTTCAATTAATGCATTTTTGCTATAAACAGTTTTCTAAAGCTCCTTAAATTCATCAGAAAATGCAATATTCGCTAATGATTAACTAAACTTAAAATACTAACACAAATAGATAGGAAAACGCAAGCATTTTTTATACACTATTTTTGATTAATTCTGCTTGCAAACAAATTTACGTAGATATATACACCGATGCACATTATTCATAAATATCTCCATACACATTTACATGCCACACAATACGCACGCGCCCTTCACTCGGGCACATACACCGGGCTAATATCCAGCACTTCGTGTCGCTCATCTAAGCGTTCATTTCGCGCCAATGTACGATTCACATCCAATGGTTCCACATAGCCCAACGAACGACCCATAGGCGCTAATACAAGGTGCGCATGCGCCTGCGACGAACCCTGATAGGAGACCACCGAAGGTGCCGCATCGATTACAATACCCGCTGCTGCCGCTTGATCAACTGGCTGTGCATTGCAATGGTAATGGAAAATAAGGCAGCTGAGGAAAAGCGCAACAAATGTGGAAAACTGCAAGAAAAAAAGAAAAATATATATACATAAATATGTTGGAGTTGCAACAGTGACAAAGTTGGCTCAATGCATGAACTACATACTGACTATATATCTACTTACAAATTTCATATTTATGTGCTTGAACAACTTCAAAACGCTCAAATATACTCAATGCTTTACGCGCACACTGTTGGAGAAAAAAGCGTAGACTAGAAAAGCGCAATGCCGCGGACAGACTGAATGACTGACTGATCGGTTGCTTGATGGCTAGGCTGGCTGCTTGCCTTATTTACTAACTGACTAACTTTTAGCCAAGTGAATGTGTGAGTGGGTACTTAGCAAGCCGGTGCGATTGTTGCTGTTGCGCTATGCATTATTGGCAAGCACATTATTCGAGTGAATGCGCGGCGAGTAATGTATCAGAGTTGCGGTAAAAACTTGATTTCATATAACCGCAAGTATATACTCAGATACAAATGTATAAACTAACAAATAGGTAAGCGCTTTAGGGTATTTGTACTTACCTATGCCTTTTATTGGAATAGTCAATAAAAAAAAAAAAATATGTTTAGTAATAGCAAAAACATTTTGTTGTAGGTATGTATGTATGTATGTGGATGCATGGATATTGAAGCGAGAAGCGAGAAACGTGTAAACGTCAATGGCGAACACTATGCGTAATTTGTGCGCCATTTGAGGAGTGTCAGACGACGAAGAAGGTGGAATACAAAACTATTTTGAGCTATTTGATAAAAATGTGGTGGTTCAGGCTTACTCAATAGAAGCTTCATATGCGACCAGCCGACCAGCCGACCAGCCGATGAGATAAACCGCTCCCAACAGAAAGGACATAGGTTCGAGCTAAAAATCGAAAACAAAAAATGTCTAACAGCGCTCTGCTCTCGGCAGGCAGTGGAAAACCTCCGAGTTCTATTGAAAACCTTCTCATTAAACCGTTTGCCTTAAAGGGGACGTGAACCGGATGAAAAATTTGGTTGGTTCGGTTCAGTGGCTGAAGCGTTTTTACACCTTCGGTTTGGTTCGTGGAAAGGGTTTTGTGTCTTTGTGAGGTGTCGGCTCGGTGCAATGGGTCGAGAATTAAAAAAAAAATATATGTAAACTTGTATTATTTTTATTCAGTAACAATCCAGAAAATAAAATAAAAGCATATGGATTAATCCATGTCAAATGCACCAATGGTTGGAATGGACAATTTTCTACCAAAGGAAAAAATTTAAATTTTTCGAAATGTGTGCAAAATTCTATTTTCGGAGATTACGCAAATTTATTTTTTGAATGTCTCAAAAATTATTATAGTTACAAATATAGTTCTGGTCTCATTTTAAAGATGATATTTGGGGTCATATAAAGAAAAATCTAAAAATAAAAAAATATTACAGAATTTTTAAATTTAAAAAAATCGTAAAAGCAAAAAATTATACATTTCTTAACTTATTTAGAGTTTTTTTTTACACGCAGTAAAAAAACTTATTTGATAAAAAATAATTGATTTGCAATAACCAGTTGAGATTGATGAGAAAAGATCTTCTAGCTTTTAAACAAACATATTATTACCTAAGAAAAAATAAAAAAAAATATGCCAAGAATTGTACTGTTAAAAATTTGGTTGAAATGAACATAAAGACTTTATAAAAAGTAATTCGGTTTTCGATTCGCTTCAAACATTTGGGGAAAATTTCGATTCGTTCGTTTAATTAGGATAAAAATCAGTTAATCCGGTTTAAAACCGATAATTTAAAATTAAATAATGTTTTTTGAAAATTCGTAAAATATACTTTTGTAAATTTCTCGAGAATTACTTAGTGGGACTTTATTCAGCTTTGAAAATATTCTTCCGCCATCCATGACACTTAAGGGGTATAATATCGAAGTGAAGAAATCAAAGTAAATTTTCTTTTTTTGCAAGTGTGAATAACAAAACGGAAAAAAATATATTTAAGAAAAATAAATAAATATAACAACTTTTTGTAATGTAGGTACTTTTATTATTGCTGTTGTAGGTGGCAGCCGAGCGATTGCATTGTTAACTATATATTTCCTCCAGCTAAGCTTATATTGCGTAAGAGGCTTTCGAGAAGTAAAATAACATAAAAAGAAAAGGCTTATAAAAATAAGTTATAAGAGTAGAAATAAATGTACAATAAGTAAACAACAAATAAATAAATAAAATAAATAAGTGAAGGTTGATTGAACACGCTGCTTGTTGAGCGCGGCCCTAAGTGAGCCGCATATACTACGAGTATAAATATATGTACATACATACATGGGCGTAACAACGTAGTACCTACACTAAAAATACATTAAATAACAACAACCACAACAATTGGGCTGCAGCATGTGAGCAAAGTAGCTAAGCGTTTTAAGTACAGCCGCATATAGCGATTTTTATGTATATTTATTAGGGTGGACCTTAAAATTAAGCGAGCGATTTTTTTCAGTCTCACCCCTTCAATCGGTAATACCACGGTCACAAATTTTATTCCCAATTGGAGTCGGTTAAGACGTCTTCATAGGGTAATCTGAATTTTTACCCCTGTGCGCCACGAGCGAGCCAAAATATATATGTATGTGATATCTTCGACTATAGTAGCATAGACTTAGGCGTTGAGGCTTAGGAAATCGAATGTAAAAATTTGTTCCTACATTTAAGGACCACACTTTCATATACACCTGTACATATATTTTTTTGTATGTATGTGCATTAGGGTGGTCCAAAAATGTATAAGAAAAAGTAAAGCTGGAAATTTTAAGTTCTCACCCACAGGGATTGTTTTATACCGAAAAAAAAATATATCCCCATTTTTTTTTTTTTTTTTAAATCAAATTGAGATATCACCCGAAGGGCTCAAACTTTCCATGTAATTTGTATGGGAAAACAACAAATTTTCGTAGAAATGGTATAGAATTTTGAACAAATCAATATTTTTCCGTCGGGAAACACTGTAGTAACTATATTTTACAGGTCCGCTAAAAACCAGAAAAATTCAATAGTATCCAGAAATGGTTAAATAAACAATTGAGTATTATTATTGGAAGTCTCGTGAAGAGAACCAGAGTTTTCCGATCGAAAAATATTGGTTTTCAAGAATTCTTTGCCATTTCTACGAAAAGTTGTTTTTCTTCATATAAAATACATGAAATACTTTGAACGCTTTAAGCTACCTATAAATATTTTTTTGATTTCAAAATAAAAAAAACTAGGGTATATTTTTCCCATATAGAACAATACTAGTGGGTGAAAGCATTAAAATTCCGACTTAGCTTTTTTTTAGACCGCCCTAATGTACATGTCAGCCAAGCCACCAAAGATCGCTTGCAATCAAATTAGCGCAAGCACGGTGTTGGTAATTGCAACTACAGCACAAAGGCAAGGAAATACGCACTTTAATGCGCCCAGTAGGAAAATCTTAGCTATTTTTATTAGAAACTTTTTAATAATCGCAGGCTTTAAGGGCCGATTTAGATATTTCTTTTTGTTTTTTATTGTCATTTATTACGATTAGATGGTTTAAAGATGATACGAAAATTAAATTTTAATTGCGAAATTCTTAAACAGTATCACATAATGATGCTCGCGAAAAAGGTGAAGGTTAAGGAACCTAAAAAATACGAAAACTTCAAAAAGACAGGGAACTCGATTTTTGTTATATCTAAATAAACAAATAAGAAAGTCTAAGTTCGGGCGGAGCCGAACATTAAATACCCGGCGCAATTATTAAATATATGTTTTCCACCTTTCCGAAAGCTACCGCTACATGATGAGCCGGCGTGTATAAATTTTATGTAAACTAACGTCCTTAAATTTCAAAATATTGAAATTTCAAGCATTTCTGAAATTTACCGTTATATGAAAAGCGGCCGTAATTTTAGTCCGATTTCAACAATTTTCAATGGTTTACTTTTATGTGGCAAGCACAATAACCATACCGAGTTTGGTACAAATTGCTAGAACGGTTAGCGAGATACATATACGTGATCATAAGTGGGCGGTGGCACGCCCATTTTCCAAAATTGTATCATGAACCTATTTCCTGGTAAAGAATTGTTGCAACCATCATTTTGAATAAGTTAGCTTTAATATTTACTGATTTATCGAAGATTTCGTATTTCTCTAAATTACCCTTATATGGGATGTGTGCGTGGTTATTGTCCGATTTTAAAAATTTTCGGCCATTTGGTATGCTGTACCAGGGCCAACAACTGTGCCAAGTTTGGAAGAAATTGGTGTAGCGGTTACCAAGATATACACATGTAACCATAAGTGGGCGTGGCTACGCCCATTTGCCAAAATTTTGTAATATTCTTATTTTTCGTCTAAAACTCATTGCAAATATCAATTTTGAGTAAGTTATCTTCAGCAGTTACTAAAATATCGCAGTTTTTGTATTTCTGAAAATTACCGTTATATGGGAGGTAGGCGTGGTTATTGTCCGATTTTGCCCATTTTCAATACCATCCGTCCTACGCCCAAAAGAAGTTCACGTACCAAGTTTCGTTAAGATATCTCAATTTTTACTCGAGTTATCGTGTGCACAGACGGACGGACGGACGGACGGACGGACGGACGGACAGACAGTCACCGCTTAATCGATTTCTCTTTTCATTCTGATCATTTATGTATACATTTGTCTATATCTATCTCGATTCGTTTTGCCTGTAACAAACAACCGTTATGTGAACAAAGTTATGATGCCCTTGTGCACAAGTGCGCTCGGGTATAAAAAGAATGGAAAATACTCCAATAGTATTTAAATGCTTAAGCCTGGTTTTCCCGATACCTTTCGGGATTCGTCCAGGCATTTCGCGTTTTAACTGGAATTAAATATTAACTTTTTTTAAGAGTTCTTAAACAAAATTAAAATGTTTTGGTATTTTCTACTTAAAATAAAAATCCGCGCCAGTGTGATCCCTCCTCGCGGATGAAGTGAAACTAAGAGTACATAAAGAACACATTTCGAGAGAAATATGTTCGCAATAAATTTTATAATATTCTTCATCTTCATCTCTTGTATTCACCTTTATCTTCATCTGCAACTTAATCTACATCTTTAACTTTAACTTCATTTTTATTTTCATCTTCACCTGTATCTTTATTTTCACCTTAATCTCAATCTTCACCCTCATCTTTATCTTTATCTTCGTCTCTATCTTTATCTTTCTCTTAATCTTTAACCTGAAATTCAGCTACACTTCCATCTGCATCTGCATCTTCTTCAGTAACACGTATCACTTCAAAAAAAAGCGTAAGAAAACATAAACATTATTTAAAAAAATACCATACAACTAGTCAATGCTTTTGTATAGACTAGTAGGAAATTCTTCAGCAAGCACAGGTTTTCCTACAGGGCACTCAATTAAATTTTTATGCTTGCACAGGTACTTACAATTACTGCCAAATTAACTGAGCCGGCAATTCAACAGCTAATATATTTGTTAAAAATTTGATTTATAAGTATTTTATCTCCATTGGTGGAGGGGAACTCATGAGTGCAGATGACCTTAACCATTGGCAAAACATAAAGCGCCGAATGATGTTGCTACTCTGAAACTTAAAAATCCAAAACCGATAATTTAATGTACATACGTATGTATATGTGTGTATGTATACCTACGCGTAGATATGCATTATTTGCGAAATTCCCAACCGCATAAAATTTGTGGCTGCTGCACGCGCGCGCTCCACTCCAGTTCGAGACACGTCATTAGCACACACACACATTCAGCAAAGCACTAAGCCACAAATGCGGCTGCAGCAAACGATGCAACATATAAATTTCATTTACGCACATCATTGAAGTTAATCTCGATTTGTGCAGCGCGTCAAACACGTTCGAATATTATTTAATACGCAGAACAAATAAGTCTCGCTGAACTGGAGAGGAATAAAAAAATATATACAAAACATACACAAAATGGTAAATAAACATCTTACGAAAATCAATAAGTAATTCATAAAAACTTAACCCCCCCCCTTTCTTTCCGCTTTCGCTACAGCTTTTATTCATCTTCTTCGCCTGCATTGCTGCATGTCACGCCGGCCTTTTGGTCCTATCGCCAAGTGATTTTCAGAAAGCCGGCGACATTAACATCTCCTCTATAGTGCATAATGCACCATCTGCCGTTTCGCATACATCTTTTACACGAGTGCACAACACACACCACATCAGTAACCCCCGCCAGCATACACAATCTGCCTCCGCCGCCCAGCCTATTGGCACCACCACCACCAGCACTACAACACAAGCGGCTAGCATCGCGGTGCAATCGCCAGTCTATGGTACGGCACAGCCATTGCATACCATACCAGCGGCTGTTGTGAAGCCTGCATCACCGGCTGCGGTGCAAGTACTGGGAAATATTGCCACCGCAGCGACAGCCACACTCAAAGGTGATACGCCAATCATCCAGTCACTGACGCATACGCCAGCACATTTGACTTTCGCCGCCCGGCCAGTGGTCTACCAGACGTTACCTGAAATTAAGCCAGTGCGTAAAATTAGTTTTGATGAATTCGTGCCAAGTCCAAGGAAAGTGGAATACAAGTATATCCAATAATATAAATCTATCTGTTCTGCGATAAAGTGTAATGTGTAAGAGAAAATTAAAACTTTGGTTACTCAGAGACACTTTCAACAATGTGTATTTTCAAAACTTTACTTTGTGACTAGTCGCAAAGAATGTAGAACTTGATTTGGGGAGCTCAATGGGTCATGGAATCAGGATAATCTTTAAAGGGTGGGGCGTACGGTTCTTTCTGAAACAGTGGAACAGACCGAGAGTTGGCAGAAAGCCTGCTCCCTTGAATCGAATCCGCAGCCTACTAAGAACTGGGCACTTACAGCGAATGCTTGACACCTTTGCAAGTATTATTTCGAAATAATTTGCTTCAGCTGGAAAGTCGCTCCATCTAGCTTGGGTCTAGACCAGTTTGGAATCTTATTTTTTTATTTTAGCTGCCCAAAGTTGTATGTTGCGCAAAACTTTACTCATGAGTGAACTGGTTGTGGACAGACACTTCCAACTTATTGTGATGGAGACGTCGTTTGAATAAGCGCTAGTCTCAGCAGATTCTACTTCCACTTTCGACCCACTTCTTGTAGGTCATCACTGACCCTAAATGCGGCGATAGGACGCCACTCTCCAGCGTTCCTCTTTTGAACGGTCTCCATCTACTATGGCTTGCTTTGAGATATTCTTGATGTACAGGGCAATGTGAATTATCCACTTTCAATAGCCGCCTCTATACGTCTGACAACACTCTGTATCGCGGTGTCCACCGATCTTCCTTTCGAGTAAGCATGTTGTGCTTTTGAAAACATATTTTCCTTAACCTCTCCAGAGTCTTTTGAATCCCCAATGTAAGGATTTTAGGTCTATGGTCCATGTGGTAAGCGTGACCACTTATACTTGCCTTCGGAAAGAAAGCAATTCACGTCATAAATCAGCCTTATCCAGCCCTCGAATATGTCACTTAGTCGACTTTTGATTCGCCTTCTGCAACTTCGCAAGAAAGATGCCATCTAGACCCTCTGACTTGTTCTGTAAGAAAGAGTTCAAATACCACTCCAGACAGCGCGGCGTCGCGAGATATCCGTTTGTGTGATGGTTGCATTAGTTTCCCTCACCCGTTTCCTAAGCGTTCCAAGTCTGTGGTTCCACCAAAGGGGATTTTCCCCTTCCTTGGTCTTCCTTGGGTGGTAAGCCTGCTTTTAAGCACCAGCCAGTGTTTTAGACAGGATTCCTAAACGAAGTGTTCTTCGGGCATTTTTTGGCAGAGTTAACAAAGCCTATATCGGCGTAAACCCAATAAGGCGAGTCTTCCAAGGACCCTACATTCCGTCAGCAATACACCAGGCTTTAAAGAAAGTTTTGAATCAATAATTCTACTCGACGTTGGCACTAGCTACGAATCTTGCCGAACTTCGAACTACCACTATTTTAATGTGATGAAGAGTTTGCTTGAAGATACTTTACTATGCGTCAGGTCTATCCTTGCCCCCGCCACCTGCATCCTCCCTACACTCACTACATCCGTTCGCCGTTTCTGCTGCAATCAGGCCTGCTACGGCTCCAGGATCTATGTATTTCTCGACTTATCTTGATTCGAGCGTGACTTAGCACGCTAGGTAACCTATTAAATAAACGAACGCTAAGTCTATGGAAACAGCACTAGAAAGATTACTATTACTAAACACAAAATTTGCTCACTATTTATGATAGCGCTGACGGATCTGAACTTTAGACTGTAGACATTTTTGGATTAATTGCGTGCTAATCTAGCGGGAGTTAAACAGATTAGTAATTAGGGGTACCCAATAAGATGGAAGCTTACCTCATTTTCTATCCGTCTTGACAGTAAACTAGCTATTGAAAAACATCTGTGGAATCTGTGCAACAGGGCTTCTAGATGACTCTGAACATAGTTAGGCTCTATAAGAGCATATATCAACGCCCGCTGTGGCTTCACTGTTTATCATAGCTAACCCGAGGCGTCGGTTTACTAACAACTGGAAGGACTTGATCTACTTTTAGAGCTTTCATCCAGTGGCCGCTATGCCGACTAAACGTCCATCTCTCCAAAAGCAGTTCATAGATTTCCACAGAAACTCTTATACATACTTTCGTAGTTAAAAGAAATTATCTCTCTAGCCAATTCATCAGACATTTTTCATCTTCTTGTAATGTGCACTAAATCCCATATTTGCCTGATTTGGAAATAATTGGAGGCGGCCAAGGCAGATGTCAGGCATTCTTCCACAGATCGTTTCATTTGCTTGAAATACGCAGCGAAAATTCTCAAGCCTAAGCTTGAGATGACCGCCACTATCCCATTCAACTTTAAAGGGGATATATGTAGAGAAGCATCGGGTTTCTTTCTCTCGGGCATATGGATTTCTTAAACGAGGAGGTGAAGGAGAACCCAGTGCTTCCTAGCCAAATGGCGGAGCAACTGTGGAAACCTTACCTGCAAGGTGTACGGGTACAACTATAAGAACAGCGTTAAACGCTAGAGTAGAAGTTGACCGAAACAACTCGCTGATTCCAACAAGGAGGGCCGCCTTGAGGGCGGTTTACCTACATAACTAAGTAATACAGACTTCTTTAGTGCATTGCGCCAGACTCAAAATAATCGGCTTGATTATGGTTTCAGACATCAAGTATGCAGCAAGTCCGCAACTAGCGTAAGATCCTACAAAGTGTCTTGAAACTTTTCTCCAAGGACTTGTCGTTTGTATCGTCTTCATAGGCGATAGGTGGACTCCTCTCAAGGTCCCCCGGAATGTGATTGGAAAACACACTTAATCCGTTTTACAGTTTTTTTGTTCTGAATTGGATTAGACCTCTTTGGCCAGATTCTGTGCTAAAAAGAGTTGGATCTATGTAGCTTAAGACGCAACTTAGTCGTTATGTCAAAGACATCGATATCCATATTTACAAAAGTAAGTTCCAAATTTCAGCCAGTAATGAATCACTTCAAACAACAATCTTTGTAGAGTTTAATTTTTTATTCCAAAAAAGTTGCATCCAAAGTCTAAAAATCACAAGCGAAATAAAAAAAAATTAGAAACCACAATACAATTACTTAAATTTCGATTTTAAATATTTAAATAAATTTCTTATTTGTAAAGTATCAGCCTGGAACACAGTAAGCAGTTTCAAAAGATTCTAAAGTAAATAATAGCTAGATCAGCAATTAGAGCATCTCTTGCCTCAGAGTTTGTTTTTTTTGTTGGCACAGCTCTAGGCATTGTTTGCACTCGAGACGATGCTTGCACTTGCGCTTGCACTTGCACTTGCACTGGTTTTGGCGTTGGCGTTACTGTTGCTGTTGCTATTGCTTTTGACGTTGATGTTGTCCGCACGCACAACGGATGTTTGTGGTGCAAGGATGAGCGGGGTGTGATAGGCGCGCAACACTTGCGACGTGATTGTACGCACTGCGGGTGCCACAATGGGCGTGACCACACGCGCATGCTTATGCACCACCGTCTGACTCTGATGCGACACGGCTGTCGGTATTTTCTGCACCACTTCACCCACCTTAGCAAGGGTCGACTCGCGAATAGTAATGGTCTCCGGAGCGATGACAGTACGCAAGCCTGGCCGTGTTGAGATGGTAATGGGTAGCGGTATAGTCTCGGCGGGTAAGATGTGATGTTGTATGGTTGCGCTGGAGCTGCTGCTGGATGGCAATTTAATCGATGAAGAGACACGTAATGCCGAGCGCGATGCTGAGGCTGATGCCACAGCTGGTCCCACAGAGGCGACAGCCGTAATGCGAGTTAGGGGTGAGGATGCGGCAGCTGAAGAACCCGTCGCCGGTGCAGCGGTGGCTACGGCTGTTACTGATGCTGGCGCACCTGACTCCTGATCGTCGGCGTTACTCGCAACGTCGTTGCTATCTTCCTCCTCCCCCGATGTGACGGCGTTCGATAGTAGCTGCTGTGGTGTTTGAGCCTTAGCCGTCAAGGATATTTTTCGATAAGGCTTAATAAGCGAGCTGCTGCTGCTGCTGCTGCTGATTATGTTGTAAAGACCGTCCGGCGCTGGTGAGGCTACACTGCACACAATGCAAGCGAGTAGAAGTGGCAACTGCGGATGAAGATTTATGAGTTGAATGAGTGAATAAGCAAGAGCACTTAGTAAGGTGTTAGTTAAGGCTCACCAATTTGAACATTGTTATTTCGCACAATCTTTCAAAATGTTTGCTTAAGAAAATACCAGTTTCTTACTGATGATCGGGCCTTAGTTTCAGGAAGCTTTTATACTTATCAAATGCCGTTGCAGGTGAGTGATTCTATGACAATTGTCATCTTAGATTTCGCTTAGGTTCGTACGAGTATGCAATTTAATAGAATAAATATCCAGTTTTTCATCGCATCAATGGCCACTTGATTTATGATTGATAGGATGGATGATTACGCATTGTTTGTTTGTGAGTTACTAATATGCTGTAACAACAATGATATAATTTTTATATTGAAATTTGATACTCATCAACACATGCAATGATCATTTGTACAAGTATATATATTAAATATTAAATATTCGTCATATCTCTCAGCTTTCCAGATTAAAACTCAGCAAAATCATCGGCTATCCGGCAATTAGAGCAAAGGCAACAATTTCTATGCAACTGGAATCAGTTTGTGAGTACTTAAAATTTTCTTAAATAGTTAACCGTCCATCTCCAGAGTATATGAATCGAAGAGCTCAAAAGCTAAGTCTTTCCCCGCCTATCGTGTCCACCGCAGAGAGGCTCCAAAGAAGAAGAAGCAAAAGGAGCAGTGCATTGGGAAACATTCCTATTATGCACGTTAACAAGATTTTAAAATTATAATTTCCGAGCGATTTGTGCGATTTTGTACCAAGCGAGGTACTACAGGTCTTTACACTCCAATTTATTAGACTGCTAGTTGAGACAATCAACCTGCAGTCGAGCAGGCGAATTTAGGAGTGGCGGAAGTCAAAACGAGAATCGGATCGGTAGTGTCGGTATCGGTCTTGGCTAGCATAGCCCCGCAGTAGTACCCTCACTTATCCTTTTAGCATTCCGCATCCAGAGCCCTGCCACCTGACGGGTTAAAGATAACCCCATCAGCTCGGGCCGTAGTGCGAGTAGGTTCATAACCATTTAGTAGGACCCCAACCGGGGGTGCGCCTATGTACAAATGAAGTTTTGTTTTTGGCATTATTGGTCGCTTATTGGCATTTTTCTTTACTTTTTGTAAATATTTCTGTTTTAATTCATTTGGTGTTTTATTTTATGATTTTAGAACCCCCCTTATACTCATATTTGTCTTGTAGTTGACTATTCTGAAAGTTGTGTCTAAGAGCAGCTGTGGCAGTCAAGTGACGAATAAATTTGCCCTCTGTTGTGATGTCAGCTTTTTGCCGTTGAGCTTTCCTTGCACTGCTGGACGCACATTTTTTGCTGGAAAGGGGCGTGTGCTTATCTTGGCTGCAGAAAGATAGTAGTCCGTATGGCGCTCGGAGTGTGCATACGTCCAAGACGCTGCAACCTTGAATTCTGTCTGTCACAACATGATCGATTAGGTTTCTCGTAGTTTGATCTGGAGACAGTTATGTGGACTGATGGAGTCACTTATAATTGAAGCGCTGACGGTCAGCCCCGTTATCGGACGTTTCGTCGTGGAGGCTGGACTTTCCGACGGTATGACCGAAGATCCTTTCGGAATCTCTCCCCTATCACAAATCTGAGTAGACGTCACAGGGTCCTATTGTTTTTTCAGCTTGTCCCATCCAGCGCATTTTTTGAATCGCGGTGAGGTGAGCTTTAGTCTTCCCGACGACATCAACCAGCCGCACTGTGCGGCTAAAATTCTAAGCTCCGTACTACGGGGCTTTCAGGGTCGCTAAATACGATTTCGCTGTCATAATTGCAAAATTCGAAATGGCGGATCCAGTATGGCGTCTGGTAAATTTAGAGATTCTGAGTATGCGGTTTTATAGCCAAGTTTAAAGTAGCTGCGACTTATCGCTGATTTTTGGCAATTTTTTTTCTTGACAGTGCCAGTCATTTTCTTCCATACGAAGAATGTTCGCTGATATGAAGAAAATGAACAGCACCTTCAACAAAAAAAATCTCAAAAATTAACCGTATGTCGCACTTTATTGTGCTTAAATTAAATGGGCTAAAAAATGGCGTATTCCAAATTTTTCAGCCAAATCTAGTTAAAAAGCTCGAAAAAAATATCTGTTACAGTGTTGATGTTCCCAAAATTGTTTATTTATTTTACAAGCTTTTAAACGTAGATTCAATTTGGTTTTGTTGGATTTTCTTTACCCAAAGTACTTTTACACGTTCCACACCACGGCCACATTCCGACTAAAAATAAAGAGGGAACTTGGGATACAGGCCGATACTGCTAACGGTTTTTGCTTCTTAGAGGTTCTCTTTAGCCAACCTAATGGTGAAAAAGCCCTATCTAAACACTGTGAGCCCGGCAGAGGCACTCATAAAGTCTCTCGACATTCTAGGTGCCCTCAAATGGTAGTCCTTGGTTCGTTCGCCGTGGTCGTCATTAAAATAAGGATGTCTCATCCGATTCAATTTTGGACTATTCATTGGTGTTTTTTTACATTTTTACATACATGGCGGGCCCTTAGCCTGGCAGACATTCCATTGCTGGGGGTTTGCCTTCTCAACTTAGCTCGCTTCCAGGCGGCTGTTACCCAGAAAATACTTGTTATAAACACTGGAAGCCGTGAGCTGCTTGAATTGGAAGCAAAATAATCATTTTTGGCAAATTTCCTTTAAATCGATTTAATTATTTTCAGTAACTTTCGAAATTCTGTCGTGTATCATTTTGTCAGCAAACTCCAATAGAAATAAGAATCACAAGTTAATAAGAAAATCAAAATGGGCTATTAGATCAAATATTACTGAGACTAGCATATTAAGTCACCGAAATATTTACATCATTACAACGAAAAGCCTCCTAATGAACACACCAACGGTTATAATTCAAAATGTCTAGTAGAGCTATTTTGGTACATACTTACATATGCACATAAATATGTATGCATTTGAAAGCAAAATTTTGGTCTGATTTGTCTGAGCGCGTGGTAAATTTATGCTTTTTCCAAAAAGAAATCTGCAACAATGAAAAGGAATACTCAAATTAAATGCATTTTTCTTATTGCGAATGCAAGAAAATGATATTCGGAAAAAAAAATATTTGATACGTGTTCCAATTTTTGCAAAGGGGATATAAGTATTTAGATATGTATGTATGTAGGTATGTACATTTTTCTATTGCATAACGTACATAAGTATGTACACTAGGGCGGGTTAATTTTTTACATAAAATTCTAAGAAAATTCTCCGAAGAGACCATGTATCTAAAATAAAATCCTAATCCGCGCCTCTCGACTTGAAAATTTATATGGCCGCCTTTGCCAAAAAAAATAAATGTTAGAAAAAATAGGTTTTTCCAAAAAGAAATCGAATTTTCTGAATAAAATTGTTTAGTAAGGTAGTTCTTTTGCACTTAATATTTTTTCTACACTCAAAATTTTTTTTCACTAAAAAAAAATATTCACCCAGGTAAAAAATTTTCAAGTCGAGAGGCGCGGATTAGAGTTTGATTTTAGACCCATGGTTTCTTCAGAGAATTTTCTTAGAATTTAATGTAGATTACGTTTTTGCTATACGATTTTCAATTTTTTTTTTTTCATCCATACAAATCAACCCGCCCTAATGTACACACTTGCACATAAAAATATTTCTCAACTATTGATGCTGTATATTTAATACCTCATTTATTGCATTTATTATTGATGTCTCGACGCCGGCATTGTTGCCAGTCTAAGCTATAGCAACAGCTATCTACATACATTATTTTCTTCCACTTCTTAGCGCCATTAGCGACAACCGCAGGAATTGACAGCGGTAAAATCAAGAATGGTTGGGCCACTTAGGCGTATGAGCTACGGCTGCAATATTGATGTCTTTATTTCATTTCTATAGGATATTTTCACTTGTCACATGAATGATTCAGCATACATATTTTGTTATCATTTCGTTGAAGATGATACAACGGGCATAAGCTAATAGATATGTAACTTTTTAGTTGGTATTACGAATTATGAAATAAGCCATTACATATGAACACATGTATGTATTGTCATTTATCAATTTCATTATAAACATATTTTATCTTTATTTCAATACTGGGCCAAGGTTAATTCATATACGGTGATGTTACTAGAACAGCTGATTTGATTAGCCTCGATACACAAATATCATAGTCTAAGATCCGATTAAGGCACGACCTTCACCCATCTGTTTAATGGATGAAATCAATTTTGTATGAAATTTAATGTATTAGGAAATATGTATTTCGCGAGTGGGTTGGGCTGAAAAGATGCTGACCTCAATAAAATATTCAAAAATTAATATTTTTTTCATTTTGCACCCATTTTTTTAATAAGCAAATTATATACCAATCGAAAGTATAAAGCCTATAGAATGTGAATGTGAAAACATCTATTTTTTTCCAGGCCTACCTATCGGGTTGGCACGTACGAACAGGTAAGTAATACTATCTAGTAATTTTCACTCATCCGTTTAACACAATCTGTAGGCTTTATGCCTTCAATTTGCATATATGTAATTTGTTCAAACAAACAAATGAGTGCATAATTAAAAACAAAATAATAATTTTTGAATAGGGCGTGCAAGCCCAACCCCCCTAAATTCCAAAGTTTCATTTTAAGTTTCTTTCTATGAATTCATAATCAATTTCCAATTCAAAAAATGTGTACAATAAATTAAAACTTTGGGTGTCTTCACATCCATGTCGGTAGTGTTGGTAAACTACTGGTTATTCCTCGATAACTTTATTAACTGTGAACGTCCTTTTCAGCTTACTTCTCTTAGTCTAATAAACAGTCATTTACTTGAAAAAAAGGTAAAATAATTATTAGCTTTTAATATTTTCTCTTAGTTTGTATTTGGATTTAGGTTTAGGTGTGCTTAACGTTCAGAGAGGTTTTGTAGAAAAACAAAAATGAAATCATCACTAAGACAATTTATCGATTTGTAGAAGACACTCGAAGACTATTGTTTAAGACAAATTAGGATGGGACCACCTCTGAGGTACCACCTTTCCTTTAAAAAAGAATTATCGATATCGGTTATGCGGTAACATATGAACATAAAAAAAAAATATTCCGACGGATAGACAACCTCCTTCTTTTTTTGAAGTCGGTTTAAAAGAGAAAAATTAATGAGGTAAATTATTATACATTTTTAATAGCTATCTTTTAACATTTCTAATAAAATTTACATTAAAAAAATCTCAGGCAGCGATTTATATACATAGTTTTCGTTAAATCACGAACCATGTTTTTATAAAAAAATATCAAAAAAATTATAGCTTGGAAAACATTGTAAATATTAAAAACTAAAAATCATTTATCCATTTTTGACCGCCACTGTATGTATTTATGTATGTATGTATACACACATTCTAGTTCATACATAGGAGGCGCTTCATTTACATATACTGACGTAAAATATATGTATTTACTTACTTACAAGGTAAATTATTTTCATCCTCATAAATGAGCAACTACAGATATAGCGTATCACAGCTTTCGGCCGAAATATTCCATGATAAGAGAGATTACAATCAATGATTTCTATATTTACCCCTATTTACTAGGAATTTCCTTTTTCTCAAAAAATCTTCCTAAAAACAAACAGCTTCAATGCCGCACTTTGCAGCAGCTTATTTCTGTTTTACATTAATGGGATCGACGAATATGTACGAATACTCAATTATGCCGTAGGCCAAAAATAGTCGCCAAGGTGAGCAAAGGCAAATAAGACAAAATCATTACAAGTAAGTAGGAATTTTATTTACAGAATTTCCGATTTATTTCATTACAAAGTGTCAGCATTGCTGCCAATAATTAAGCAATAATTCTCCAGGAAATCAATTAAGGATTTAGCTGAAATGTTCACAAAAATAATTCGCCAATAAAAGAAAACGTTTGTTTACTTCTTAAATTCAGCTGTAGCGTAAACCAATGGCTGTCCGTAAGTGAAACCGAATGCGCGGTAGAGTGGTGCCGGATACGTAGGAGCAGCAGGAGCAAATGAGCGTAATTGTATTGGAGCGTTGGCATGCACAAAAGCGGCAGCTGGGCCTAAACCAAATGGCAATGTGCGCAGCAGGCGTGCAGCTGGGAGTGGCGATGAAAAGGAGCGATAGGCTGGTGCGGTATAAGAACGAACGGCGGGCGCCACCAACGGCGTTATGCGTTGAGCTTTGCTATGTACGATGGTTGAGCTCTGATGGGAGACAGCAGTGGGTACACTTTCGACCACCTCAACATGGGTAGGCTGAGCGACGAGCGCCGACTTGTATAGCGGCAAGGCGTCTGCCAATGATGCGGTGGGCAAAATGTGAAGGTCTTCGGGTGCGGCGGCGGCGGTGGCGGTCAAAGCGCAAAAGGCGGTGATGAGAAACTGAAATTAAAATAAATAATAAATAAATTTAATGAAAAAAAATTGCAAAATAAATGTAATGAAAAAAATGTGGAAACAAGTTAGCTCTTAAATTCTGTATTTTCATATTATTGTTTTATTTTATTTTATTTCATTTCATTTCATTTTACTTCATTTTATTTTATTTTATTTTATTTTATTTTATTTTATTTTATTTTATTTTATTTTATTTTATTTTATTTTATTTTATTTTATTTATTTTTTTATTTTTTTTTATTTTTTTTTATTTTTTTTTTATTTTGTTTTATTTTTTTTAGTATAATTTTGTTGAATTTCTTGCTCTTAAATATCTTAACTTTATGTTTAAAATCTTCAGCACTCACCACTTTGAACATTTTTAATATCCTTTTACTATTTTTGGTCTGACAATGCTCCTCACTAGACACGAGCTCTTGTACTAACTACTTGCCTGAATCCTCTACCGCTTTTATAGAAATGTTTTTAAAGTTGAAAGCAAATACTCCTAGAATATATTAGCAAGAACGAATACGCCTTTGTTACCATGGCATAAGAACCAAAATTGAGAAAAACAAAACTTCTCCACCGGAAAACTAGCTTTAAGTCTCTAGCGCACGCGCCCTCAAGACAGCAAAAGAAATCCAAATGATCATATTTCAATCGCGCCAATAAACTAACAAACACCAATTACGAAGACCGAAGAATAAAAAGAAATCCTATTAAGAAACCAACGCAATCACCGCTCAGCGTCTTGCTCGTCATCCTTTTGCCAACGCTGTCCATGAGCTATGATTTCACTTTCGCTGAAGAACTTTGTTTTGCATCTTAGCCGCTTTCAATGCCAATTCTGTTTCTGCACACACAAGGGCCACCGGCCACAACTATCGCCACCAACAACGAGTACTTCGCGTTGACATGTGCAACATAGTATTGGTAGGCGTTTACTCGAATATTCTATGCTCAAGTGTTGATCGTTAACACTGATTGGCAAGAGCAATTGTGTGTCGCACTTCAATTGCTCTTGCTAAAGTCGTTTGTTATTGTGTCAGCAGTGGCGGCGCAGCAGCAGCAACGACAATTCCTAAGGGAAACCTTTTGGCCTTTTCTTTTGCGATGTCTTCAACGCATGTAATCTGGCGTTAAGAACATTCAATAAAACGCCCACATCTCAAACAATCAAAGTCGCAAAAATGGACGAGGCGCTGCGTGTAAAGTTAACACATTTTTTTTTTTAAGATCAACTCAACGATATTCGCTTTAATCTTGTGAGATCTGTTAAGCACATTATAGACGGTCATTGACAGCTTGTAGAACACTTAGAGAAATTTTCTACAAAAATACTGAACAAGAAAAAATGTGCATTCAAGTCTCAATGCTTCTTGACGGGAATTTTTATACGATGAATCTGGAACCTTTGCGTTTTCCGGACTGAGATTTGTGCTATAGAGAAGACAGATAGTCGATGAATCTGGAACCTTTGCGTCTTCCAGACTGAGATTTGTGCTATAGAGAAGACAGATGGTTGTCCACTAAATAGCATGGTTCCAGGGAGAAAAGTCACTATCTCCGTCGATAGTAAAGCGGTTTTAAATCACTGGGTTCCGCAAAAGTGAAACTGGGTATTTTAGAGGAATTTTGCGCCGCATTGAAACCACTGGATCAATTCGAGATCTCTCTTTACAGATTTTATAGGTTATATATTTAGAAGTACACACGAGGCATCTGATGATATTGCCAGGTAGTATGTCCCTGAGATACCAGTAAACGAGCCAGCATTTAGCGACTAAACATGGGAAATAGATGAAAACACTGTAACAAGGTGATTGTGTGGTCTATAGGTCTTTATGGCCCACTATAGACAGCAAAAAGACGCAAGACGTTTTGAAACTGAGCAGATCTGCATTAAAATTTTTTACCGGTATCGTCCCAAGGCGCTGTGCTTTTGCATCGATGCTCCGCAGTTAGTGAGTACTAAAGACTTCTCTCTACAGAAGCTATCGCGGTGGGAATGGCGATGACTACTTTATTTCTCGATGTCCGGGCCTGCAGTTTAGGCGACTCAAACATCTGAGGTCACGATTTTTCTCTGGGCGTCTACTCTGTATTGCGATTCAAAAAGCAAATCATTCGGACTCGAATACTTCGCACAACGAATTTATATTAGTTCGTGCCGGCTTTCGAATCGCATTGAGTTTCGAATCGCAATACAGAGTAGACCCTCTAGTCTGGCAGAAATAACGGAGGTGAAAATCTTGCACCTCTTCAAAGTGATTTGGTATAGCAAGTGGTTGATAATTCTATATTTTTTTCTTTGTAAAAAAACTCCGGTTAGGGGAATACGTCTCCTCCTGGTATCCACTCTCACAGGGCACTCACAATCAATAACTAAGCAGTACGCCGCCGAGTGAAGGTATCGAACTATCTATACACGCCTGCCTAACCAAACCTTAACTCAAGGAATACTCTGTTTAGTTCCTCTTCGTGTTTTTACTCACAAAACAAACTCAACCTCCAATTTTAATGTTATGTTTTACGTACATCGAACCCGGACTACTAAAAGCTTAAACCTCTTTTTTCCTTCATGTCATTGTGATAAAATTAGCATATTTTTTTTTTACTTATCATTATACATTCTGTATCTAATCAAATTTTAAGTAGCTTTAAATGTTTTCAACCCTCCTACCTACCCCATAGTCCCATTCAGAAAGAATCAGTATGTACATTTATAAGCCACCTATTAGTTTGGAGCAATAACATTAAAATAGCAAAGAACATTGGCATTTGGTACGCCGCAACTGGTCGTTTCGACAACAATGCGCTTAGTCCAAAAAAAGCTTTTGTAAACAATGCATCGTCAGCCACAACACATTAGGGGTATTCTCCAAATCTTGCAAAGCCATTGCACGTAGCACGGATTGCACGGATTGCATAAATTGCAAACACACAACAAGAAAATTCATGGGAAACAACATTTCCTATCGCTGCAAAATATGCAACGTCGAAACCCATGTATATATTTTGCAAAATAGCATAGCAAGATAATAGCGACCCTGTGCTAGTTGTTTTGTTGTTGGAATTGCTACATATTTCTCTCATTCCTCTCATCTCGCTCACTTAATTTTTTTTTGCTGTCTCTTGTTATTGTATTTGATACATAATTTCGCTGCTTGCTCCCCATGCATGCTACCTCTTTGCAATGGGGTGTTCTCGTACGCTTCGAAATTTGGAATAGTATTTTTGCATTTCGTGCAATCCGTGCATCGTGCAAGACTTCGAGAATACCCCTAATGTCAATGCACTGGATGTGCAGGCAGGAGTCCGTCAAAATATATGCGAAAACATGCATGTGCATGTACATTAGAGCGGTGCAAAAATGCATGTGAAAAAGTTAGGTCGGAATTTTAATGCCCAAAGCGCATTTTATATGGGGAAAAAACAACTTTTCGTAGAAATAGTGTAGAATTCTTGAAAATCAATATTTTTCGATCGGAAAACTCTGCTTCTATTCCGGAAATTCCCAGTAATAATACCCAATTGTTCCTTTGGCCATTTTTTCATGGTAACTTTATTTTATAGGTCCGCCAAAACCACCAGAAAATGCAATGGGAGAACCAATAAAAAATCTTTAGTATTAAAAAATTGTTAAATAAACAATTGGGTAATAATACTGGAATTCTTCTGAAGAGAACCAAAAATATTTATTTTCAAGAATTTTATACCATTTCTACGAAAAATTGTTTTTTCCCTAAATATTTTTTGATTTCAAAATAAAAAAAAACAAAATTGAGTTATATTTTTTCGGTATAGAACAATCCTAGCGGGAGGTGGCATTAAAATTCCGACTTTACTGTTTTTGGACCACTCTAATGTACATATGTGCGTATGTATGTAAACACTTGTATCCAGCAAAGCAGAAGCAGTAATTTTAGACCCAATCCGATTGTATTTACATACATAATTTCGTAAAGGCAATGACATTTTGAATTTTTTGTAAACAGTGTTTATATGTCAATGGTTCTCTGCAATAACGACACAATTCCAAACTTAAAATATAGAATCCCTTACTACTGTAAAGTGGCTCACATCTATAATCCTCGTCTAATCCAGGTCTAGTCCTTACTACTTAGTGTAGGATTGCTACTTTACTTACTTTTGTAATCCTTACTGTAGTATAGATTAGACATGGACATTAGCCACTTAACAGTAGTAAGAGTTTTTATTTTTTTAATTTTGTTGTTATTGCAAAGGACATTGTGATAGCGAGCTATGCCCAGTTGGTCCCACGAAAGCAGAGCAAGCCTGTTCATGCTTCCTCGCCTCGTGGAGCGGCAGCCGAGCATAGCATCGCGGAGTGGGAAAGCGATTTAGTCGCCGCTACTGTTCTTCTCTCAATGTGGATATTCAGCCCGTCTCACAGCCTCGAAGTGGCACAGCTTTCGTTGTATGTTTACAACGGCATCACATGGCTTCGGAGTTTATCATCGCATCTGCTATTCAGCTTCAGATTTTCTCCTGTCATTATGTTCAGCCTACTCTTCTCATTTTTCAAATCGTGGACGTTGGAACAACGCATGCTTTGGGTCCCCTTAGATGTCATATACTGGACATGTATTGATGTCGTCAAGACCAAGTCGGTATAGGTAACTTCTATAGCCGCAATGTCAGCTCAGGATTGCGTTAAATGGAATTTACTTCGCCATGCTTTCGTTGCATCCACGTTGTGACTTTATATTCAAGGCGTACGTCCATCTTCCCTTCGTTGATGCAACCCAGCGTTCCTGCCAAATCAGTATGGATGCTGTTTTTTGGCCTCCATTATTTGGTTGTTGCCCATATCCCCTTCGCTTCAGCCGCGAAAATGTACTTCTTGGACCGCCGACTTGATTTTATTTCCGCGTTGGCAACGATGAATTCCGCAGACTCTGGTTTCTTTCGTTTACTCACTAAAATCACTTCGGTTTTTCGATAGAAGCATTTTCTTTCCTTTCTACGTCCTGTAGATATTTTCCAGTCACAGTAAGGGCCAGGACATCCGCAAAGCCTACAAGCTTTGCTTCTACATGGAGAGAGATGCCCGAAAACTCCGTTGTAGATAACATTTCACAGCGTCAGGCCTAGAACAGAGCCTTGTGGCACACGCACACGCGCGGTAACTAACAATTGCTTTTCATAAATTTTCGTATTATATATGTATTTTGTTAAATTTACGGCTCGAGAGATAGCTCCAAATAATGTGCAAAATATATAGCGGAATAGAGGCCGGATTATTTGGTTCCAAATGGCGGTGTTGAATGCATCCGTTTTCACTTTTGATGAAAGGAATTAGGTAATCTTGCTGAACTCGGTTCGCCTGGGAAGAGTATAAATTTGGCACTTTCCATGCATTGGGAAATATGTCCGGTTTCCTTAATAGCACTTTGTTTTGAACATGAGGCGGACCCGAAGCAATGTTATCTCCAAACTCTTGGCTGATTCGCACGACTTCTCCCATAGTTTCTTTCTGTATTCGCAGTCATTATTTTGGACGAAACAGCTAAACTGAGCTCGGGGTCATCACTAACTTTTTTATTTAGGAGCTGTGGACAATTTTTTGTGGCGCGAATAACTTATCCGCGCCAGCCCCACCCCATGGATTTGCATCTGCATCGCTTAGTAATAGTTTGAGAGACTCATTTTTACTCGCCTTAAAGTTGTGAGCTCAATTC